GAATGTAAACTTTGGGCTGTGTGACCGAACAACTGCACACAACTGTAATTAGCCCATGTCCTCCTGAATGGAGCATCTGTGAAGCTGAAGACAAAAACTGGTGTGTGCTTCACTCCAGGCCAACAGGGAGCCCAGGCCACACAATTCAGAACATTCATACTATGAATAGCTCCTGTAGCAGGAGGGCCGGTTTGTGGCTTCTTGAAAGGCTTCTGATTTGTGGTCAGTAGAAACATACATGAGTTTTTTGGACTACAGGATGCAGTGGACCTAGTAAAGTTCCACTAGTATTTAATTAGGTTTCCTGTAATTGCTTTAAGTAAAAGAGAGGAATGAAACCTGAGGTTATCATCTTGGGACTCAAAATATTTGTATGTGGTTTTAATATCCTGAGCCCATTTGTTGCTGTTCTGCGTTTTAGAAAGAGCCATTATAGTTTGAAAGAAATACACACTGCACATTTATCAGCCCTTTGGTGATTGTAAATGTCCTGCATCAACTTTAAAGGACAAGTGTTGTTTCCAGTAACTGAATTTCTGCCTGAAGAAGGAATGCATAAACCAGTAAAAGGGGCAGAGCTGTAAATAACCAGAGAATGAGGAAAAGAAAAGGAGGACATCGGGTTTGCCAGAGGAGGCTGTGCTCTATCTTTGTATAGATACAAATTTCTGGACAATGGGATGATGAGAAGAAAAATCACAATAAAAACAGGAGACCTGAGCAGGAACGAACCAAGGGAAGGAAAACAGTGATATTTGGTAACACCTTGGAAATTTTTCTGTTAAGATTATTGTAATAATTGGTCATTGGATAAAATAATTTGTTAATCTTTTCATAGAGGAACAAGAGGTTTAAATATGCCATGTAATTGAAAATTCTTTTTGGGGGGGGTACCGGGGATTGAACTCGGGTCCTTGCGCTTGCAAGGCAGGCCGCGGAACCACTGAGCTAAATCCCCGGCCCTGAAAATTCTTTCTAAACTGATTATATGAACAAACAAAAGGATTACTAATTTTCAAAAATTTAAGATATTTCTCATATACTTAATAAACTTTTGACGATAGAGTTGGCCCTGTAGGATCCTGTCCTTTTTAAAAAACCCACTTTCCTGAAATCCAGTCCACTGAAGTCTTTAGCAGATCTAGAGGCCAGGAGTCTCTATGACACAAGCTCCATCATTTTAATAGATGAACAGCGCTATTGATGTTGATAGAAAATATTGTTTCTTCCACCATAGAATAACACCTACTTCATGTCCTCTACTTGCTTAAAACAGTTCACTGATATCCATTGCTGTCAGGAAGAAATCCCAAACCTTAAACATTCTGTTCAAAGAATATTCTCTCACCTAGAAAACAATACTTCGTGGACCACAGTTTGCCGGATGCCACCCCCAATATTTCCTGTTCAGTGAGTCTGGAATAAGGCCTGAGAATTTTCATTCCCAAGAGATCCCCAGGTGATCCTGATTAAACTCTCCTGGGAGCTGCACTCTGAGAACCATCTAGTCCAAGACTATATAAACTGCATCTTTGCTTGTCTCTTGTTCCATCACATCCCAGGATCCTCTGTATCCAGTGGTGGTAGTTTTCTACAGGGTTCTCAATTTCCAAATTCTCTGTCTTCCGAACTGACTCATATTGAATTCATCATACCAGGTTGCTTTCTCTTGTTACTTTTCAACCCTGTACATTGAATAGCTTTGTACATGCTAGACAAAAACACTTCACTAATAAGTTAGACCCTCAGCGAGCCCCAGCCCAGAAACAATTAAGTGACAATGATACGATTATTATTTGTTATTTGTTATTTTTTTGCTTAAATTCTTTTATTAGTATATTTTAGGTATACAGTAAGTTTAAATTTTTCATTGGGTGCTTGTACCTGTACATGATGCATCTTGATTCTTATTTTTTCCCCATTACCTGTGCGCCCTTCACCCCCTCCACCCTTCCCTGTTTACATAGACTTTGTTTCCATTTTTTTCTTTTCTCATAATTTTTCCTTTCCCTCCTTTCCTTTCCCCTTCCCCTCCCACTTCCCCTACCCCTTTGGATCTTTTCTTCCTATTTCAAATTATCAATTATTCGTTTTGATTGTTTTAATCCTTATTTACACTTTCAGTTTCTCACACCAGAGAAACTATTCAATATTTACACATGTGTGTCCTATTTATTTCACTTAAGAGTATGCCCTCAATATGCATCCATTTACCTATAAATGTCTCTAGTTTCTCATGCTTTATGGCTGAGTAATACTCCATTTTATAAAAATAGCACATCTTCTTTATCCAGTTTCCAGTTGATGGGCACTTGGGCTGTTTCCAAGCTTTAGCTATTATGAACTGTGCTGCTATAAACATGGGTGCACATACATCACTGTGATATGATTCTTTTAATTCTTTTGGGAAGATACCCAGCAGGGGAATAGCTGGGTCAAAGGGACCTGTATCCCTATTTCTTTGAGGTGTCTCCATACTGATTTCCACAGTGGTTGCACCAGTCTGCACTCCCACCAACAATGGAAAAGTGTTCCTTTCTCCCCACACCCCCACCAGCATTTGTTATTGGTTGATTTCTTGATAGCAGCTATTCTTTCTGGGGTGAGGAGGAATCTCAGTGTTGTTTTCATCTACATCTGTCGAATGACCAGTAATGCTGAACATTTTTTCCTATGGTTATTTGCTGCTTTTACTTCTTTGTCTGAGAAATATCTGTTAATTTCAGATGCCAGTTTTTGAATTGGGTCTTTGAATTTGGGGTGTCTGATTTTTTAAAATTCTTTATATATTCCAGATAGTAGTGCTTTGTCTGAGGTACAGCTGCTAAAAAATTTTTCCCACATTGTAGGTTGTCCCTTAACTCTGTTGTTGGTTTCTCTTGCAGTGCAGAAGGTTTTTTTTTTTTTGGTACTGGAGATGGAACTCAGGACTTTGCTCTTGCAAGGCAGGCAGCGGAACCACTGAGCTAATTCCCCAGCCCTTAGAAGCTTTTTAATAAGATGAGATCCCAGTTGTTGTGCTAGTTCCCATCCTACTGAGGTTTTGTTCATAAAGTCTTTTCCTAACCCAATGTCTTCAAGAGTTCTACCTATCTTCCATGAAGTTTAGTGTTTCTGTTTTAATATTTAGATGTTTAATCTACTTTGATCTCAGTTTAGTGCATGGTGCTATCACTGGGTCTAGTTTTAATCTTTGGCAGGTTGAAATCCAGTTTTTCCAACACCATTTATTAAAAAGGCTATCTTTCCTCCAATGACGGTGTTTGGCTCCTTTGTTGAAGATGAGGTGGCTGAGTGTGTCTGGAGTTGTTTCTGCATCTTCTAATCTGTTCCACTGATCCTCAGGTCTGTTTCTTTGCCAGTACCATGCTGTTTTATCACAGTAGCTTTGTAGTATAGTTTCAAGTTGGGGATTGTGATACCCCTGCCATGTCTCTGTTGCCTAGAATTGCTTTTGCTATTCTCGGTCTCTTCTTGTTCTAAATGAATTTTTGGATTGTTTTCTCTAGTTCTGTGAAGTATTGTTGGAATTTCAATCGACATTGCATTAAATCTATATAGTAGTTTTGAAAGTATGGCGATTTTCACTATATTGGTTCTTTCTACCCAGGAAGAAGGGATGTCTTTCCATTGTCTTATATCCTCTTCATTCTCTTTTTTCAGAGTGCTGTAGTTTTCAGTGTACAGCTCTTTGGCTTCCTTTGTTAGATTGATTCCTAGTTATTTAATTTTATTGGATGGTATTGTAAAAGGAATTGTTTCCCTAATTTCTCTCTCAGTGAGTCTGTTATTTGTGTATAAGAAGGCTATTGTTTTTTGAGTGTTGACCTTGTAAAATGATACAATTATTAACATGTACTCTCTTCACAATAACAGAAGTTCATTGAAGATGATCACTATCTTATTCATTAGAATTTCACAAATGCCTGGTAAATATCTTTTATATAATTAATACTTAATAAGTATTTATTGAATGAATGAATATAAACAAGTACAAAGAAATTCATTTAATCACTTTTACTGTTTCCACCCTTGTCCCAAAGTAAATTCTACTCCCTGTCAATGTTCTGCTGGTTCTCTCAGTGGATGCTGCACTCCAAAAATGTGTGCATTTAGTCACCAGGAGAGCTGGTAGTTGCATTTCTCAATATATTTTTTAAATGATCCCTCTTTCTCAGTCCAAAGAGGTATACTGCAGAATGAATCTCTGAAACAGCCTTGATACCATAAGATAAATTTCCCTGAAATGATAAAACCAGGTTTTAGTTCAATTTTGGTTATTCAGGATTATATAATGCTATGAAATAAATTCTAATTATTTCAGCTTTTTAGCTTTAAGCAATTTAACAAGATTTTAGTCACACTGCAATTACAGAGAAACATTTGGACTCTCTGAACATTAAACATTAAACTTTAAAGCCATATATTCTTTAAATAGGATACCAGAGGTTTGTTAATTGAAGCTCATTTTTCTTTCAAGAAAAATAATGTTATTATAATTAAAACAAAACTGTTAAAGTAATTTTAATTGTTAAAGTAGAAGGATTAGATTACAGATTTAGATTATTCTCTTTCATTTCCTATGAAGAGTTAGGAAGATTTAGCTATGGTAACATTGTGTGTAAAACAGAGCATCTTAGCTTCAACCAAGTAATTGAAATAGAATCCTTAGAAGATATGAAATCCAAGTTCCCTTTTGAATATACAGAAGGATATAAGTGGATGGGAGGTAAATATTAGCACATTGGGGAAAGGTGCTATTTTGCAGAGTGATACTCCACTTTGATCTTCAAATGAGCTTGGAAGGTTTGAAATTGCAAATAAGAGAATGAGAAAGCTGTTCGGTAAAGTAAATGCAACCAGCAGAAAATCAGATGGCATGAGCAAGACCATATCTGGGTGTTGACCCGCAGCATCTAGAGTCCAGTGAGGGAAGAATAGCGTCTTCTAGTTCATCAGTGCAGGCTTCTCTTGACTTGAGCCTTCCTTTCTTTCCTCAGGTCTCATTGTCCGGGAAGTGAGCATTGAGATTTCTCGCCAGCAAGTGGAAGAACTCTTTGGGCCCGAAGACTACTGGTGCCAGTGTGTGGCCTGGAGCTCAGCAGGCACCACGAAGAGCCGAAAGGCCTATGTGCGCATTGCATGTGAGTCCCTGCACACAGACACCTCAGGCAGCAGACACTGAAGGGGTGTAAGAAGTTTAGACGGCAGCTGATCAAGTGTCAGAGAACTCTGGTCAAAATTCTTGGTCAAAATCTGCTCCCAGATTTCTGTATTTGAGGGACACATTAAATCACGAGAATTTTTTTTTTTTTTTCTTAAGGCACTGAGTACTTTTCCTTTAGGGATATGGAAGAATTTGTGCCATTTTCAAAAGACTGATTTTTCAAAACTGCTAGTAATTAGGCTATGAGAAAACCAAATAGATTCTTTTTTGAGTTCATTCTGCCAACTTGTTAGGACAATGTTAAATAGTGTTCTTACTAGAAAAGGAGATTATTACCCAGTTCATGCTTGTTTTAGAACTGTTTTGGTGCTTTGGAACACAGCACTTGGATTAATTTTTAGAGTATTCATGTTTACAAAGAGGTTAAAAGTGCTTCACCCACACAAAAAGGGTTTCACCATCAAACAGATAGGAGAATGCTTTTTGTGAGCAGAGTTGCCAATGGTTCTCCATTGCAGACCTCCCAGACTCTGGTATATAAAAGTGCACTTTATCCTTGAGAGTGATGAGCCTGCTGCTCTTGCCTAACCCTTTCCCAGCAGTACCAGCGATTCTGGGAGCAGGACAGCAGCTAGAGCCTGTCTTAGGGGTCCTTATTGAGAAGCTTTTTCGCACAGGGGAGACACCACTGAAATTCATGTTTTATTTTCTGATCCTTTTGCATTTAATTCTATTGTGTGGTGGGTACCACTGTCACATGTCTCATGTGTCATTGACTCTAGGCACTGTTTCTGCTCCCAATTGTATTCTCGTTTCTTGCATCTCCTTGAAGTAGATCTGATCTCTTGGAAACACTCCCCATTTAGTCTCCAGGGTTCAAGTCTTTCCTTCTTCCACATCACCACAAATGGAGGCTTCCTACAGCTCTGGTCTCCTCTGGTCATGCTTTCACCCTCCTTCAAATTGTACAGGGACTCACAAGAGAAAAACCAAAATTCCTCATCAAAATATCAGCAACTGGATGGATTAAAGAACAGAAATTTTCTTTCTTCCAATTTTGAAGGTTAGAAGTCCAAGATAAAGACCTCAGCAGGTTCATTTTCTTCTGAGACCACTCCGAGGCTTGTAGATGCCCACACACTCTGAGTCTTTCCCTCTGTGTGCACATCTTGTGTGTCTCTGTGTGCATCATTTCCTGTTCCTAGAAGGACACTTATCAGACTGGATTAGGGTCCATCTTAACAGCCTCATTTGAAATCAGTCACATCTTCAGAGGACTTGTTCCCAAAAATAGTCACATTCTGACACCCTGAGGTCTGGGGGTTCAGCGTAAGAACTGGGGGAGGGAGGTCAGCCTTTAACCAGCAGGTATCCTGATTTCCATCTGTGTGCTCTTAGCTCTGACCACTGAGGGTTTCTCCATTTTAGTCACATTAGATTAGAAATTCTTTGATCTCCAAGCCTTTTAACAATTGTTTATGCCTAAGGGCTTTACCCTTGTCTTTCTTTCATACTTTTTAAATATTAGTTTATCCAAAAAATGTTTCATAAGAATTTATTCTGTTCTTAGACAATGGTGGGTATTGGGAATGTCCTAGAAACAAAACACATGCCCATCCTTGCCATCCTGGAGTTTACATTCTGTTGCGGAGAGGCAAACTGCAGATAAAATAAGTAATTATCATGTAAGGAGCAAAAGGTTGGTTCTATGAAAAAATGCAAGGAAAGGGAATGTATGGTGCTGGGAGGAAGTGGTCAGGAACTTTCCTGAAGAAACTGACAGCTGAGTAAACCAGAAGGCAAGGAGGGAAGGATCAAGCCAGGGGAACAGCAACCAGCAGGTAGAATCACCTGAGGCAGGTGGGTGCTTGCAGCTCCCAGGATGCACAGTAAGGCCTGAGGGACTGAAGAGTACTGACAGGAGATGCCTTCATGGGGCAAGTAGAATGATCTGGGACCAAGGGAAGAGTGGAGGTGCTGGTCTCTACCTGTGGTGCTGTCTTTGGATTTAGCATGAGATGGAAACACTTTGGAGTCTTTTCAGCACAGAACTCCACCTGACTTCCATTAGAGTCCCTTAACTGCTGTGGAGAAGAGACTGTGGAGAAAGGAAAGGGTAGCAGCAGGAACATCAGCTAGGAGGTGGTGGTTTTGAGCATGTGAGAGTGCTGCAGCATGGAAACAGCAGAGCAAGGAGATTGAGATTCTGGAGACATGGAAAGGAAGCAGTAAGAGCTGTTGCTGAGAGTTTGGGTGTGGGATATGAAGAAGAGGAGAATAGATGGTTCGAAACGCCTGTGCCTTTTGGAGATTTCTGTCAGATTGCTCTGGTGAAGCCATTCATGCCTCCTGGGTGGAGGATAGTATGTTCTTCTCTGTCTATTTTCAGAACAGTTTGTCCATACTTTTACTATCAGGCTTGACTCACGTGAATTCATTTGTTGTAATGATTGTGTTGTATGTCAGCGACTTTCTTGTGATCAAGAATTCTGTTTTACTTAACCTTATATCTTCGGGGCTTAAAACAATGCCTAGAATGTCCTAAATGTTTGAAGAATATTTTTTAATTAGAACCAGTGTAAAGAATTCCTTGTGATGATTATTAAAATACTGTATATTAACCTTTCCTCTTTGGGTTTGTCTAAGGAGATTCACCCTTTATCTTAGGTGAAAGAAGTAAAATAGAGTCTACGTAATAGACTGGGAGGTGGACACTGAGAGACATGCGTGCAGGAAATGGAGTGAGGAGCCATCTTAGAAACAGGGATATTGTGAGGAGGAACAAAGGCAGTAGGATGGGGAAATGGAGAAACTGAGCTTCGTGCAAATGCAGTAAAGGACAGCCTCAGAAGTCTGGAGTTTGGAGGGGGAGAAGTATGATCAAAATATATGCAATTAAACCCAATATTTTGTAAAATTAAGAGGTGCTAATAAAAAGTTTTTAAAAATTTACATTTCTTATATATAAATATGTGTATATATATTTTCCATGTAAAATTAGATACATATACCTATAAACCCCCTTCTTTCTTTGTAATGTATTCTATTTTCTATTTCATTTATGGCTTTTAAACATAGTTTGACATTGTCAAGTAATAAGAAAATAAACTCTTCCCTAGAAAGAGATGAAGTGATCCCTGTCACCTTTTCCCTCCTGTGATACGCCAGAGTGGTTTTACTACAACTTCAAAATTAACAGAACTCATGTGTGACCAAGCAGTGCTACCCATGTAAGATGTACTCATTTTGATATATATCATAGTGAAAACCAAAAAAGGTTAAATTTCAATTCTGTCTGTCAAGGTTACACCCTACCAAGCAGGCCTCACTAATGCTACAGAAAACCTGTGGAATTCTTAGTCCTCCCTGCATCACATGAGCCACGGGTTTTGCCTGTATTACTTGACAGACGGCCGTCACAGAAATAGCAATTAATGTTCACATTTGTCACAGGTGCAGATAACCATGGCGCCAAGGTTAGATAAGTGCAATTACCTTCCACCTAATTAGATTTATACTCCTTAAGTGTTCTATGATGGGGTCCCTCTTTCTTGAAAAAGTTCTATTTTTACAAGTTTATAAAGCAGAAATGAATAGTGACCATTATTTAAGTTTGTTAATGATATTTTAGATTTTAAAACTATATAAAATGAAAAATTAATTTGTGAGATGATCAGGGCAGAGGAAAGAGATGGAAATTTGAAAGGTAGAATTTAGCGAGACTAAAGCTGAAGACACAACAGGCCTGCTGTATGATCTGACTCACTTCCCAGAGGGCAGGGAGCTTCCCCCTCAGGGAGAGAGATTTCTGCTGAGAACACTCAAGGGGGCGCTACGGTGAGTGTCCTGAGCAGAGTTCTAATGGCATTCAGCTGCCACTGGGCAGGGCTTGTTTCTCAAGTGTTTCTTGTTGTAGGCCAATAAGAGAACCCCAAGGTGGAAGGTAGGGCAAAATGGCTGCAGTGTCTGTCTTCAGAAGCGCTTTTGGCTGCAGTCTTGCTGCTGCTGGGGACTGGGCTGTCATTGATAAAGCTGTGGTGTTGTCCTTTGGGGGAGGGAGGTGGTGTGTAACAAGCACCCAAGTTGAGGTGTTCAGAGTACTCACCTTGGGCCAGGTTGACATAAGTTCGAATCCTAATCGCATCACTGATGAATAAGACCTTGGTCAACTTACTTAACCTCTCTGGGCCTTCGTTTCATCAACCATGAAATGAAAATGATAGGGCTATTTTAAGATGAAATGAGAAAATTTGTAAAGGATGTGGCATACTGTAGTGCCAAGTGAATTCACAAAGCAAGTGCTCAGTGAATAATAGGTGTGCATGATTAAAGAATAGTTTGAATAACTTTATATGTTGGTTATGAAACTTAGCCAAACTAAGCAGACTGTAAAAACTACAAGTCTTTTCACACCCCAAGCCTGGACTGTCTATCATAGAGGCTGAAATTTTCTTCTGATTCACACAGCATTAGATCATCATTTTCTCCATGCCTGAGGATGGAGGAGAATGCCATGGAGTCACCCTTCTCCTACAATTCACGTGTGACAGTGAGATTTACACGCACAGAGAATCCATCTTCCTGGGGATGGCAGGAGCGCCCCCTCAGGATTCCTCTTTGTCATGTGTGCAAACCAGTAAATCACAGCCAGTGCCACAAAGGGCACTGGCTACAGAGAGCAATAAGATAGTTCTGCAAAGAATTAAGGATGATGAAGGTCGCCCTTTATGCCCTCCTCTCACAGCACTCTCGACCTTTTCCCTGTGATCAGAATGACCTCCTCGGCCACCTGAGGGTTTAGGTCAACCTTGTTCATGATGGTGAGCATGTAAGTGCTTAGTAGATGGTCTGTCTGGGGCAGCGGTGTTCAGGAGACATAGTGACAGCCACACAGGTGATGCACACTCTTCTAGTAGCCTCACTGCAGAAAGTAGAAGCAAATGAAATGAATGAGGTACTTCATTTAGTCTGATATTC